ACGTACGCTTGTGTTTGTAATGATTTTCTCTAAACAAGGCGATAAAGCTACTAAGACGCAAATCGTTACTGTAAGAATATAAGAAATGATATTATTAATTTTGATTGATTGCTTTGTTGAACGGCATATCAATCTCTATATGTTATTTTATGAACAAATCTAAATATTTTGTGTGGAATTTTGTTTTATTGTTGGAAATAATAATGGTTTAGTGATAAAAGCCTTACTAATTAACCCATAGATCGGGAAGAAGAAGTGGATTCATCAAGAACGTTTTCACGTAAATGACTGTAAGGAACGGAACTAAGATTGGAACTTCGATTAACAATTCCGGGCCTTTATAAATTACATCACCTGCACACCCAACCTTATAGCACCAAAGCAATCACCCATCTATGTATTGGCCTAGCTCGACGTTGCTTAGCTTCTATGTATATCTAATATGCAGTCTGACTCTAGATCAGAAGGTTGCATGTTCAAGTCTTATCAAGACCAGTCATTTATGACGGCTGATTTAATAGCTTACGGTTTTGACACTTTGAAGCACTGGTTCTCGTCTGATCACTGAAGTTAAGCAACATTGAGCCAAGTCAGCACTCAGATGGTTAACTGTTTTGCGGAATAACATGTGCTGTACGCTACGCGATAGGCCTAGCAAGAGCCAGATTGTTACAATCTGTGTTTTTTATACTAACAGAAGGCCTCAATATGTAGAGGTAATTCTGAGCTGACAGGTTACAGGCCTATCTGGAGTTGGCTGAGTAGCAGTCATGGCTTTAACAGAGTCACCTATTTGTGCCCAACGTGTAAAAAATACCAAATTTATTAGTACAATATACATGTATTATTGGATAACGTGAGCATTGTTGAGAAGCATTTAGTACTAGACCACCCATACACCCTGTTTGGTTCCTTTTAAAAGCAGTTCAGGATACAAAATGATATGGTAACAATACAGTAAAATCCCTGACACCGGACTAAGAAGACATTCTGGTTATGAGAAATTGTTTACAAAGTTCAGATATGAGGGATTTTATTTAGATTAAAAATTGAAATCAGGTTTAACATTTATTTTCAATGTTTTATATTAAACAAAATAAGCTAATCGTGAATGGAATATAACGGGATTGATTTTAAGGAAAAAAGAAATACATTATGTAATGTTACTGAAAATTCATTAAATTAAGTATGCCACATATGCAAAAGAAATAATTTAACGAGGAGTTTTTTAATCGCTGTTGCATGACGATTCTTTCTCTTCTGATGCTATTCTCAACTTTTTCCCCATTTCAGTTTTTCTTTAGTTTTGGAATATTTTTAAACAAAAGACACTGCGTACATTACTGCAATCATTATAGCTGAATGCTGACTTTCTTACCATAAAACTGACAACGTTTTCAATAGCTTTTCAAATTTCCGTCAAGGTTTCATCACAATCCTGTTTTTTATTTCCTTGTTCATCGTGACAGTGTGAACGCTGGAGAATAGTTTCTTTGGAAGATTTTATATCATACAATGTTGACTTTCCTATGTTGAACTCAGCCATTAGTTACAATGAACTTTCACCAGAGTCTAGTCTGTTTTAAAATTTCCACTTTTTGCGATAACTCCAAAGTTGTTCTTTTCCTTTTATTCTCGTCATCTTTTGCACCAATACAAGCCATTAGGGTGAAATAAGCATAAGCAATTATCGAAAGTAAATTTCCCGAAAAACAGAAATTTCAACTCAGTTACATATCACCCAAGTAGTTTAAATATACACATCAAAATTATATCCGGATTTGTGGGATTTCGGATATGAGTCACTGAGAATAGGAAGGAGTCCAGATATGATGGATTATACTGTATTATGAATTTTATTATTAATTACACATATTTTAATTTCTATTTGTGTTATACCGGAACATACCTATTCTATAGTTAATAGACTCTCCCACCTATAATAAGTAGTAGTAGTAGCAGTCGCCAGGGAGCTCAGAGAGTGGGTCAGTCAGTCGATGTCGGATATTAAAATATCGACCACCACAACTAGATTGCTGCGTCATTAACTCTTATATCAAGTTCCTAACGTTTTGTACGTCGAACCTTTTTAGGACCGACTTAGTGAAATACAAGCCTCCACTGTGAAACTACTCTATAACAATTTGCAATACAGGTTACTGTAATAATTATTATTGCTCACATTTTACCTAGTTCACTTAGATCAAACGCAATAGTAAATTAATAATAATACTTATTATATTGTTTCCTCATATTTATTTCAAAATGCGTAACGGTGGCAAACCGGTATGTATCTCTTTATTTACCATCAAGTCAAGTGACAATTTGCCAACCATACATATTAAGTTTTACAACGACACACCCATATAATGTCTTGAGCTATTAAGCACTTGCTAAACATCCAAGGTATTTGTTATAAAAAAGGTTCATTGTAGTGCAGTGGATTGTATAAATATATGCTGTCATGCATATTTAAATTTAGTTAATAACGTTGTTATAATGTATTATGAATATTTATTATTTTTCACACGCATAATAGTTGGAATATAATATGTAATTGTTTGTTTATATACGCTTACGGTCATGTCACGTTGATAGTTAAGCAACGTTTAGCCTAGTCAGTACTCAGATGTGTAGACATCGTGAAATGGAACAGGTGCTGTAAGCTACGCAAGCCGATGACAAATACAATCTCTTCTATTTATATTAACAGAAGACCTCAATATGTAGAGGTGCTTCTGGGCTGATAAGATGCAAGGCCTACTTGGAGTTGACTTGGTAGGGATTTAGCAAATTCACTTATTTGTGCTCAATGCATAAAAGATTGTAACAAAATGCCAGATTTATTAGTACAATATAAATGTATTATAGAGCAATGTCAGCATTATAGGTAGTCGAGATTTGCTTAGTATATTTATTATTTTTCCAATAATTTTCTCTGTTGCATGATTATTTTGTTCCAGAAAACAAGCCATGGCTGATACCATGTACTCTCATGTCTATTTGATCCAGCACACTAGACCCCAAACTGAGGATGGAAAAGAATGCCAGTTGACCCGTAAGGTCAATATTACTTAACAACTATCAATTGAGGAAGAGAAGAAGAGACAGAACTCAGAGCCAGGTGAGAATGGTGTGTGAATTAAGAAGTTATAGGTGTGCTGTTAGGTGTATCAATGATGAGGGTTACATTTCGTTGTATTGCGGGCACCTCAAGGCGGTGTAATGGTTAGCAAGCTTGTCTCGCTAGAACAATTAAAACTGAGTCGTGAGTTCAATCCTCACTGGGTGCCCCATACTTTCAGCCTTGTGCCACATCTAAGCTATGCTTGGAAAATCACTACATTTCGTTGTATTAATAACTTTTATTCATACATTTGAAAAGATTGTATAACAAATGTGGTTTAATAATATTAAAGTATAGAAAATTAAATTAACACCAAGATTAATTTGGTTAACAACTAAATATTTACTAATCTCCAAACTGTAGAGCTTGTGGTAATTTGTGATAATTAGAAAACAAACACTAAAACATGAATTAAATCTTGTTCATTAATATTGATTACTAACAATATATTTTTATATCTTTTGACTAAATAATATTCTTTATTTTAAATAACATGTTCTGCTTTTGGGAATATACACTTACTTTTCAATAGGTTTAGCAAGCTGGTGACAAATCCAGTCTTTTCTGTTTATACTAACAGAAGACATCAATATACCGAGATGTTTCTGGACTGACAATTTGCAAAGTCTACCTGGAGTTGATTGGGTAGGGATTTGACAAAGTCACTTATTTGTGTCCAATGTATAAAAGATTGTAATAAAGTAACAGATGTAATATGTATGTGTTATGGAGCACCGTCGACATTGTAATTACTCAAGAATCATTTAGTACCATAAAGTTGCTTCCCCGTGCCGTTTCTATAAATATTGTCATGGTATGTGTATGGATGAGCTCTTTGGTACCCGGAATTTAAGCACAGTACTAGATTAGCAAGAAGGTCTCATCAATTTACTGTTGATTTGGCTAGATATAACCGTAAGTTCTATGCTAAGAGTTTCTTTTCTCGCTTGCGGAACTCTCTTCCGGCTCCATGCTTTCAAGCCAACTTTGATTTTCAAGAATTTAAATGCAATGTCAATTGATATCTGTTATCTTCCTGATTACTCTTCTATTGTTCTCGCTACTTAGTAATGTTTCTGTATCTAATTATTCCATATCCAGTAAGCGCTTGTGTTTAGCGGTTTTAATGATTTGCTTGATGTGACCTCGATTAAAAAAAAAAAAAATTGCTTCTTTGTTTTTTTCAAATAATTTTCTCCGCGGCACGATTGTTTTTTTCTGGGAAGCATGCATCGGCCAGAAACATGAATTCTCATGTTTATTTGATCCGGCTTTTATGAATATGTCTCAAGAAGTAAAAGTCGCCCCTTAAATTCGTAATCAATTTTTTTTTTTTTGTATTTATGGAAATATAGATTTACGATAACATTATTCACAAATTGTTATTGTAGAAGTCAAGTGACTTACCTGCTAACATGGCTGCCTTCTTGTGTCTTATTGGAAAAGCAAGCCAGCTAATTTTACCTCATTTATAGGAGAGTACCTAATGCACCGGTTAGGTTGGTCCATTTTGCTGAAATAGACCTGCCCAACACATTTGCATGAGTGGTCTCTATTCACCCATATATCTCTCCATTAAATGATTCAGAACAGTTTTTTTACTTGTGATTACGTCAGTCTACTTGTGCGTCAGACCACTTTAGCGGGTTATTTAAAGGCAGAAACTATTTATTGCATTGTACGAATCCTTTGAGATAATAATGATTTATTGACGCAAGTTCTACTATTTAATTCATAACTAGGCAGAGAAAAGTTGGATTCATGCCTTTTCCAAGAGTATACGCTTGTAAGCGAATGTAGCGAACCTTACTGGGATTGGAACTCCGGTTAACAATTCAGTGCTGTTATCCATTACACCAGACGGTCCTCCAAGATTACAACACCTGGTATTCCCAGTTGGTCACCTATCTGAGTACGAACCAGGCTCGATGTTGCTTAACTTTGGGGATTGTATGAAAACTAAATAAAGGAAAAAATAGTTAGATCTTTAAAAATGGCTACTACAGATTATATATAGAATATGACTTTGTCATTTTCAGTTAAATACAGTGCACTTGTGCAGTAAATACAAATGCAGGCAGAAAAGGTTTTCTGTGGTTCTGGAAATCCGGGTACATAAAGATTTTTTTTTTAAAATATCAAAGCGGTTCATTTTAGGCCGTACAATAAATTGAATGTCAAATCAGAATACGCCTCTGATGAGGCAGAGAAGAGAACCTTTGAAAAAGACGGCAGTAGGCCCTTTTCATTGGTGAACGTGAGTAATCAATTTGACAAGACAAAGGACAAGTTTGGAATATATATTCAAGCGCAGTCATGGTCAGGGAAATCAGTCACAGGTGGGCGCACAGGAGTTGGTCAGAGTCAAAAGCGCAGGAGTGTCGGTATCGAAGAAAGAAAGTGGGGTGATGTTGGGTTGAGCATTTTGGTTTATAGCGGTATAGGTCAGAGACCAGGAAGAAAGACAGAGTAAACAATTGTTCAACGAGCCATTTCGTTGTTCTTCAGATTTATGGGGGCCCGATGTTGCCGTCATTTCGACAAGAATATTAAAGTAAGAACAGTTGGAAATGTACTTCAATATATATCCGTCTGCCTGTTTGTTTCGGAATTAAGAGTTGTTCGTTTTTTTTTTGTTTTTTTTTTACAGCTTATGAACTTCCTTTTTCCGGTGTTCCTACTACCAATATATTCGTACCAGCCTGGCTGGGATTAACCCCCAACAGGCTGGGCTCCGGCTGATTTCTATTAGTACCATTGAATATGTTCAAAGTATATTCGGCAAACCCCAACATTTGTTAAAAAAAAAAAAAAAACAGTATTTCATGAAAAAATGGTCAAAATATAATAAAAATAAAATTTTATCTCTCAAAATCTTTTTGTATTACTGGGTAACATGCAACGGAATACTGAATTGCATGTTTTTCCGTGTGCAGTCATTATTAAGAGAAAAATTAGAAGATTTTGCCAAAAATAGGGAAACATGCCCGCAATAAGGCAGTGTCAAAAGGACGGTTTTTCCCATGACACCGCTTTTTAAACTACTTTCATACATCGACAATGTTTATTGTTTTAAAAAGCGTTAATTAGAATTGTAATAAAACCTAAACATATGAAAGTGAATTCATAACATCGTTCCCGTATACGTGTGTAATTCTGTATACACCCAGCGAAGTCATCTCTCCGAACAAACCGGTCTGCAAGTCGGGCTTTTCTAATTATGGTTCTACAGTATGTACCCTGCTTCCACCGTTCTTGTCGTCGACACCATAATTGCAATATAAATTTTAGTGTCTGGTCAATAATCTATACATTCCATTAATATACATTTCCCAGTGCTTTTCCATCAGTAATGGTATCGATATAGAAGTAATTAAATGATATTAATTTGAGGACAATTTCCGACTAAATTCAAAGCGATAATTATCACGAAATATTTAAAACAAACCAGACGTATCTATTGCCAATATTTACATTAGTACAAATAACAAAAATACAACTGAAATAATTTTTCTTAACATGTTGCTTCTGAGCGTAGGCTATCATAGCTCTCCACATCTTCTTCTTCCCTTGGTTATTTGATCATACGGCTGTTGTACAAAAAGAAAACGGAAAAAAAAAACTTGCAAACACGGTATTGTGATTCGGACTCATATAAAATTAACGATAGCTCAAGTAACCACTCTTTACAAGAGCAGAAGAGCATCCTTGAATGCACGATATATCGAGCCTTGAAGCAGTTGGGCTACAGCAATAAAGACAACTCCGTTTTATTCCTGAAAGATAAGAACAAGAAACCCGGGCAATAATTTGCTAAAGTTTACAAAATTGAAAAATAAAATTTTGAAAAAAAAAAAAAAGTTACCTGGTTTCATGTGTTTCAATTTCTGCTTATAGTAGGCGTAATTAGACGTAAAACAACATGAAAACATAGATTCATCCTGTCTTGTATCAACAATTCTCACTGCTGTTGGTGGTGTAATAAAATGGCGACTATTTTCTTGATGTACACTGAAAATCTTCGTGCCGACAAATGATCGTTTAAACCAGTTTTTCAACCTTGTCTTCTTTGTGGCCGATTTTTCGTGTCAAAAACCTTTTCAGACCCACATAATCAAAAAAATAATTTCCATGTAATAAAACATCCACTCTCTAGTGACCACAAAACTGTCCCTCTCAGGACAACGCTATTTCTCACCCTCTAGATGATCTTTGCCAAGTTCACACTAACATTATTTTTGTTAATGTATTTTCTTTAACAAAACTAAATTAAATATATATATATATATATATATATATATATATATATATATATATATATATATATATATAATGAAATATACACTTTAAGGTACCATTACAATAATTTATTTCACCAAAATCCTTTTAAAGGATTTTGGATCATCAGGTAACACTTCCAACAATGAAATGAGAGGAAAAATGCATTTATTGTAATGGTACCTTAAAGTGTCTGTTTTTCATTAAATATTAGCTCTGTTCTTCACATTGAGCTCTCAGGATTTCATCCTCCTTGGATTTACCAATTCGGTTTACCAAATTCTTCATAACTTAACTATATATATATATATATCTATTGCTCAGGTCTTCGTTTTGTTTGTTGTTGTTTTCCGCTATTGGTTATTGTTGTTAAAGCTTCTAACAACAAATCAGGATAAATGGAAAGAATTCTGATTCTACATAAAGATAAAAGAGACGAATAAAAATAAAAGAAAAATACCAGTACTGTGGAGGCAGTAGTAGTCAAGAGCTTTGGTCCTTATTGAAGCCTTCCTCTTCAAAATTCCAAATGACTTCAACATGGAGGCAAGTCATTCACAAACACAGGATAAGTTGCTGACTGACCTGGTGATATCCATCTCCTTGATTTTTTCCAAAAACCAATACCTACTGGTCAAAAGAAACCTGAAGAAAATTGTTTTTCATTGAATCTATTGATGCAACATAGAGGTCCAACTGAGGAATTGACCAGAGGCCACTAGAATCCGGAGATGACTCACAATGAACCATTTACTGTATCTAATACTGCTGTGTATTTTTTTTTTTTACAATCTTTATATCAGGACCTTAAGAATTAAATAAGAAAATCACTTATGGTTTTAGTGATAAATCAATCTCCTTCAGCTTTAAGGCAACTAACGGACAACAGCATGTTTAAATATTTATATGATATTTTCTCCAATGCATAAGAAGATGGTATTAAGTTTCCTGTCATGTATTGCCAAGAACCTTTTGCTAGACAACAACAACAACTATCCGTAAACAAAGAAGCAAAGTTATCTGGAGGATCATTAATAATTTTGCAAGTAAAAAGTGTAATTTGTCATTGGTTATTGTTATTAAAGCCTCTAACAACAAATCAGGATAAATGAAAACAATTCTGATTCTACATAAAGATAAAAGAGAAGGTAAAAAATGGAGGAAAAGATTTCTGATTCTTTCAAAATGGTTATACTTGTTTGTTAGGCATGAAATTATCTATCATCATAAACTATATCAGTTCACTTTGCTTATTCTTTTTTATTTTCCTCTGGGATGAGTTTGCTCAGGAAACCAATATATCTATCTGATTAGCTATGGAAATTACATATGTATAGATTGATAAACTTGTTTGTACTGATCTACCTACATACAATTTTCACAAAACACGTTGACTCTCCTGCTTAGTTACTAGTAGAATTTTTAATAGATTATACTTACCAACAGAGCTCATGTAGTTAAGACTCACTGTGTTCTTACAGAACTATTTCTATAGATTTTAATCTACATACTAATTTTATTAAAATGAAACTTTCTCTCGCCTATTCAAGAAACAAAAATAAGTTACTTCACTTAATTTTCAATAATCTTAACTTATCTGAATTTCTTTCTTTCATGTGCTATGTCTCTCAAGACGTGTTCTATGGCCTAGATGACTAAAATCAAAGTGTAGTATCTGTTCCAGTAGCAGCCGACTGCCTGCTCGCATGAGCAGTAGTTCCAGCTAACCAGCCATCATCATCATCATTTCCAGCTTGTCATTGGTTGTTGTTCCAGCCATCCTTTTAAATGACATGCAATAAACTGTCCTTTTCAGGACAACATTTCCTAGCGACCACAAAATTGTCCTTCTCGGGATATACGCTCTCTAGCGACTACCAAAACTGTGCACACTAACATTATTTTTGTTTATGCATTTTTCCTTAACAAAAAAAAACTTGGCAATATTTATTTTTACTCAAGTTTTCGTTTTGTTTATTTACAAAAGGATTATGTAGTCGAAAATATAAATACTGATTAATGACTACACTGCTCCCGGTGTCTATCTATCAGCTTGGCTAGTTGAATTCCAAAGCCTTGGTTCGGCTTCAGGCGTAAATCTGCTCTCTTTTCAATTGACAATGAATTACGTTTCTTTGTGAGTAGATCATTGGCTGCAAAAAATCCCGCCTCAACCAATCAGGTGTTGTGAAAACCAGGTAAGAATCGAACGATCTTTTCAAAGAGTAAGGGATGGGAGGATTTTATTTTCATTCATCCAATCAACGCATCCCTTTCAATTCTCCCCATAAATACTTTGTTCTCTTTCAGCTCAAGCAGGCCAAGACCAGGCCCCTTTTAAAAACAAATTATCAAGCCCACTCGAGAGTCTAACAGCTCACATTGAAAACCACGGGTTTAAATTCCACAGAAAGAAATAAAAATACTTTGAGTAGTACATCTTTGGGACGGTAGCAGACGCCTTCGAATACCACTCGTACTAATAGGACTTGCTCGATAATACTCGCTCGAAACAGTAATCCGTATTGTGATCTGAATAGAGAAATATTATAGTGAATGGAGTAGAGAATAGCGGCCCGTATAGTAATAGAGGATAGAATAGAAATAGTGATCAGTTAGACGTCATGTGACTTCCTGCTTATGCGTTTCTCCCGTGGTCACGTGATCCACTTAATTCAATA